AAAAAGTTATTGTTATTTAATTTAATACAATAGAAAACGTAATTGACTTAGAAAATGTTATTGTTTTTCTTTAATAGTAAATGTAGGTCGCATACCTATTTATTATGAAATTATGGATTCTATTTCAAATCGTTATTGATTTGAGTATATTAATTTGATAAAAACAAATCAGCACGGAACAATATCTTAAATAGTTGATATGTTACGTTACCATTATAACTATCAAAGATGAGTATAATTCAAATATTAGTGATGTGGAGATCACAAATGTCGAAGAAAACGAATTAAAGATAACGATAGAAAAGATAGTATTTATTTTACAGTATTTATTATCATTATTATCATTATTTACTTTTTTTAAACCAAATTTTTTCACTGGAAAAATTTTTATTACTTGAACATATACAGTACGTAATACACGTAATTCTGGTTATAATAACACTGTTCAAGGCATTAACAAAAAAATTCTGAAAAAAAAAAATCTGTTTAGAAAGATTTTTTTGTGTGGTCGTTATAACGAAATAATGTAACATTTATTATTTCAAAATAAAAAAATAAATTATCCTGGAGAATTTTAAGACAGCATCTAATCGGTATGTAAAATTATTCAAAATAATTAAATTATTAATAAGTTAAACGGTTATATTACGTAAGATGTATTAGTATAAAAAACTGCTGCTGCTCACCGACAATCATCTCACCGAAAGTTCACTTAGCCGACATCACATAGCGTTAGTATTAACGTTTTATTAGTTGCGGGTATATATTTTTAGTAAATTGTCACTTGATGTGATGTTGGCTAAGTGAGTTGTCGGTGAAATGATTGTCGGTGAAATGAAGTAAGGCAGATCCAAAAAACAAGCCGGGTCCAAACTCTAGTACATTAATATATAATGTCACAGACTAAAAGAGAAATAATGATGAACTTCGCCTCAAGAATAGCCCTTAAAGGCTTGGATGATTGTTGTATGAGGCTTTCAGCCAAAGATTGTAACGTAGAATTAATCAAAAGATGAGAGGAAGTGCATAGAAGGTTGATCATAACCACTGATGGTTAAGTTATTTAGGTGTGATTGGTTGACGCTTATGTGCGAGGCAGGGGTACATGAGAATGATAAGTATAATTATATTTCCGAATAACCATAGCCACTCCTCTAACGAGAAGCTAAATTGTAAGTCATGTAATAAAAAAATTAACTTGCTTTAATTAAACAAATATAATTAAATTTTATAAAATTTTTTTATCATCGTTATCAAAGCATATGTATAAAAATTCGTATAACATTTAACAGCAATAAAGGTTAGTATGAGAAATAAAGAAACAATAACGATAATCTATGTATGCACAGAAATTAAAAGATCTTAAGCTCTCAGTGGAATTTTTTTTTTTTTATGGCTTCTTGGTTGAGCAAAGCCTACTTACATTCGTACCACCCGTTAACTCGGGGGTTGGTTTTAAACAGACCTAAACCAAAACCGATTCGCTACATTGTTGGGGGCACTAATTTAGAGTTTTAAATAAAATGTTCGGCTCCCTAAAAAATTCAAACACTAAACCAAACTCTAACCTAAGGCATTGAATTTTAAAAAATTTGAGTCAAAAAACACAATCAGTACCTGTGAATTTCAGCCGTGAAATCCGAAACTAGTTTCAGATTATTATCGTTATTATTACAGTATTATTAATCAAAATAATTTATATAGTAAAAACTCAAAATAATATAAAAAACGGATACCCGGTACATTAAAATATCAAATAATCAGATTCTTTTTAAGTAAAGCACAGAAAATTTTGCATTTTAAGCTAACTAACTTCAGTTTGAGGCGATATTTAAATTAAAATTAATTGGATAATATTTAATTAAAATTGATTAACACGATTAAAAATTTGATTGGCATAGTAATAGGTAATCCTTATGATGTACCGTTGTACTATGTTTAACGAATCCCTTAAAGTTTGTACGTACAATATAAAAAAATCATTTCACAATATCCATGACATTTGATAAAAGACAAAAGAATTTGGTTTAATAATCGGGCCAAAATAGTAATTGCATATTTCATAAGATTACAGCATATCAATATATTATATATCAATATATTATTTATTAAAATATGGCTGTAAATTGTTTTTGATTGCAGTCATGATATCAAACTTTTTTAAGAAAAAAGAATTCATAATATTTAGAATTAAGATTTTAAAACATATCTTCTCGAAAGCTTTATTTTCCCGAAAAGAAATTATAATAAACATTTTTATAATCATTTTCACTGCCTAAATGACGGAACAGGTTATCGGAAAAATGAAAAACTCTTTAAGTATCTACAAATAGTCACAAATATAGAAACATTTGTTCTAGGAATTCTTTACGATTTTTAATTAAATATATTAAAGAATAAAAAAGATAATAGTACAATATTACAATATTACAGTATTATAAAAGTCAATAATTTTATACTTTAAGTCAAAACAAAGACACCAATTGAAACATTTATTTTTATAAGGAATAATTTATTATATAAGTGAATTTGGTATGCTACGCGTCATATGTGATATTATTGATAATCTTTGATAAAAATGAGAGCATAATAATAACATATTCGGTAATTACAATTGCATAAATTCGAATATATAAGTCTTTATTTCTTAGAAGTATATGCAGTACAAGACTTCTACGCATATATCTATATAAGAAGAAATTAGATGCACGTTTTTTAAAAAATCAATTTTAAGAAATATTTAAACGTCATTATTAACCCCAACAATTTTAACGTTATAGTTAGACAGAAAAAGATCCCCATAAAAAAAAACTACGATATTATAAACTTAGGTTATTTTCGAATACTTTTACAAATCGTTCCCTTTTGTAGTAATTTTGATCTCCGAAGGACAAGCATATAGTTTCATCCCAGGAATATCATAAATATTATTGAATGAGTAAACATAGCGGAGCCATTCTCTATTAAGTTAATATAAGTTAATATGTTTATGTTTGTAGATGTTGGTCTCTGCATACACAGATGTTTATTTATTTAAATAATTCGTTAATTTGTTACTACAATAAACAATCACACACAATTATACAAATTTACTAGATATGAATAGTTATGAATAGTTAGTTATGAATAGTTAGTTATGAATATTTACGAATATTTACGAATATTTACGAATATTTACGAATATTTACGAATATTTACGAATATTTACGAATATTTACGATAGTCACGATAGTTACGAATAGTACTATTTACTATACAGTATATATTTTTTTTAAAAAAAGTTGATCGAAAGAAAATTTTCGTTCTTTTCATCTTCAAAGCACTTTTATTTATATAATAAATATAAAATAGGTTTTTCCGTGTTACACGATTTCCTCGGGAAGAACGACAGAAGGAAACTCAATTTCGGATTTATCACATGTACAATAAACCTTAGATCCGCTTATACCATGTTATTTTTTTATTTATATATATACGATGATAAAATAGAATAAAATAGACTAAATACAAATTTGGTACATATGTAAATAAAAAAAACCCTTTGTTATACAAAGCTAGTATGATCCGAGTTGAAGTGTCAACTTTATTTCCTTTTGAATAGTTTTTGATTTCAAATGTCGCATTGGATAAGATGTAATTTTAGTTAATGATACATTTAACGAATTTCTTGGAATAGAATTATTAATTGTCATTAAGATCAATTTTAATATAGTGATAGAGTTCACCCCCTTTTCTTTGAGATATAGTATTTAATTCATTTTGAATAAATTGATATGAATGAATAGATATAAATTTAAAGCATGAGATTTTGTATACTCTCAATGATATCAGTTGATATTTAACAAACCCTTTTAAAATCTCGGAAATCAAAAAACTTCTTATTCTAGATTTTTAATGGTACTGTGCGTAAATTCATATACGTAATGATCTTGGTATATGGTTTACCAAAAATTTAATTCTGATTGTATTTTCCTGAAATGAATTTTTTTGGGGGCTGGGAAACCATGTAAATAAAAGTCTACACAAAGACTTTTTCATATACGTACGTAGAAATGCTGCAAGAGGATACTACCATTATATCAACAGGATATTACATGTAATTTTTTTTCGTGTGAAAAAAAAAAAGATTCTTTTTAACTAAATGGGACCAATTTGGTTCAATTTCTTATTATTAAGTAAACCAGGGCCAAGAAGCAATGCGATTGTTACGTATGAAATTTATAATCGAATTTACTATATTTATATAATCAACTTAACCACTATACATTCCAGTTTTTTTTTTATCTTAAGAATCATCCAAAATAGGCTTAGCATACAAATTAAGGAAGAATCATTGCCGACTTTACCGAATATCTATATACTTCATATAGTCAACGTAACACAAAACTACTTATTTTTCAATTACTAAGAAGTTAAATTTAGAAGTGGTTTAAATACCAGAATTAGTTATACAACAAGTCCGTGCCACGAATTTTTATTTATTTATTTATTTTATTTTATTTTTCATGCATCATTATTCATAACATAATGATAATAAGAGATTTTATTAAATCGAAAAATTCATACAGTTAAAGTAAAGGTATATACAAAAATTTTTTTTTTTTTTTTTGTTTAAATGTGTGCTTACGTATCATGATCCAAGACTGCATTTAGAAGTATAAAATCCCAATTATAAAATTTTTTAAAAAACTATCATATTTATACGTATTTATATATCTGTACTATGTGTGTGTGATATATGACACGATTATGTTTAGAAGGACAACAGATTAATGCAGAAAATGGTGTACCTTTTTTTACGTAAAATTATTTAAAGTTCAATAAAACTATAGATATCTATTAAAGAAAATTTTCATAAAAAGCTTAAAAAAAAAATAATAAAACAAATCTTATATATAAAAAGATGCATGAAAAAAAAAAAGTTTAATTATATTATTTTGGTTATGCTATATAAATATATAGTTTTATGATACGAAAATTTTAATTTCATAATTCTACATTTAGGAACTCCAATACCAATTAAGCAAATCGATATCTTCTTGTGTAAATTGAAGAAGTGAATCAGTCATTGGATAAGTAGTCATATTTAGAGGTGTTTGTTGAAGTTGTGTAGTTGGCACAACAAGAATTTGTGGCGGAATCATGTAAGGTTGATAATATTCATGATTAAGATTACAAGTTGTAGGCGGTTTTGCCCGGGATGTTGGTTTGTATTTGTATCCCGGGTATCGTTGTGAATGTAAATTTTGAACGTCAAGAGCCAAACGTTCGTAAAGTTCCTTATTTTTTAAAATGTAAGAAGTGTGTAAGAAGTGTGTTAGAAATCATTTAAAAATCGTTAAATAACCGTTAATAACCGTTAACGACCGTTAATAACCATTAACAACGTTAATAAAAGTACCTTTTCTTGTGGTGAAGCGCTTCTCCATAACATTCCTGTGACTTTGCTTATAACTCTCATGTTATGTATTCCACGTTGCTTTGCCTGTTTATGTACATTCTTCCTACAAAGCAAGAAACCATTTGGAGGACGAGGTATTCCTGAAGTTTTTTGTTTTGACGGATTGATCAAATCTTCAGGTTTATTATAATAAGGTGGAAAAACTTTAGTTCTGTCAAGTTTGTGCATTAAAATGTCTGCCATGTCGCTCAAAGACGATGATGATGATGATGATGATGATAGGTTTTGTTGGGAGTTATTAATAGCCATATTATACGTTATATACAAGTTATGTAAGATGAAAAGGTCCTTTATTTTTTTTTTTGCTACAACTTTAAAGATTGACGGTCTTAAACGGCCGCCTTATATAATTCTTTTAGGTCTTATTATATATATAGAAGTGATCAGTTTAGTGTATTTTAATGTTATTCTGTGAATATATATACTAAAATAAATGCATGGTGACGCATTTTAAAATAAACGTGTATCCCAGGGATGCTTAGTAAGGTCACGGCATAGGACACAGTATAAAAAATAAAAAATTAAAATATTGACCATGTGCCTCAACCTCAACTCAAAAGATTATCCTTAAAAAATAATAATAATCAAACATCACCCAATTTTTAGGCGTAATGCATTTACTTATACTTTTTATTCATTCAGCTGGATTCAGCTGGTGAATCTTTTAATAGAAACCTGTTATTAAACGTAAAGTCGTCTTTTTTTTTCAATAACAATGGCATAAAACGATATATCGGATATATCGGATATATATATGGGTATATCGATGTTTTATATCAATGTTTTAGAAAGTTTAAAATTCTCTTATTTCAATATTTCATTATATGCATATATTCGTATGTTCATGATATAAAAATATTAAATTATTGTTAGTAATCGCCCAGAAAAAGCTCTTTGTAAATGATTAGACCTGATGATTATTAGAAATTTCTATATAATACTTGATATGGTATATTGTTTATTCATTACCTTTTCATTGGCAATTTATCACAAAAATAACATATTCGAAAACGTTCGAGGGTGTAAATGTATTACACAAACATCATTAGACTTTTTTTATTATTTTTTTTCTTATTACAGTATTATATGTTGGCATATGATATGATCTGCCGTATCTTAAACATTTTTTTCCGTAGAATTTTATTGACGTTTATTTTTTAAAAAAAATAAACTATAAAGTTACACATTTACAAATGCACATCATTGAAGTATTTACAATTCAGTTTTTTCTCGTTTTATAAGACGTTTTAGGTATATAATGATTTGTGTTTCATGTCTTCTAGATCCTTTATTAATTTATCCAGTAAATTAAATAATTGCACAGTAATTGCACAGGGTAGTATAAACTTTTTTTTTTCGAAAAAAAGAAAATATATATTAAATTTTATGTATGCACATTGCGGAGAAAGTTAAATCTGATAATGTATCAATAAATACATTTATACTTTAAGTTTATAAAACATTATAATACACATTATAATACACATTATAATACACATTATAAAACATTATAAAACATTATAAACATTTTAAAACATTATATTACGCATTATAATAGATTAATAGAATTACTTTTTTCTTGCATCAATAAATTGAGAAGCAATTGATAACTACATATAAGTTTCATATTAATTAATGTTAAAGATAATTTTCTAAAAAGAAATCTAAAATTCAATTTTCTAAAAAGAAAATCTAAAATTTCTCACGCCATCACAGTAGGTCAGATGATACAAATTTCACTATAAAAGTAATTGTAGGTGTGCAAGTTAAAAATTTATTCAAATATAATATTATATATAACAAGAAATTAATTCTTTTCGCATACTAGTATACTAGTATACTACGTATGTAGTATAGATACTTCTCGATTAATTGTTCTTAAAAGGGAATATTTAATACTGTAAACAAATCAAATTCGGAAAAATACTTATTTTTTCGTAAAATTGCTAAACAGTTGTACAAATATTTTATACCGTGTGCCGATACAATTCCGCATTTTGATTGTTGAAATATGCTTTGTACCACTGTAGGATAGAATTTTCTTCTAATGTTAGCTAGCATCTTGAAGATCTTTCGACTATTTCCATTGTAAGTACTGTAAGCGTATTAGAGATTTAAATTTTTTTGCGCTAATTAATTAATTAGTACAGTTAGTACAGTTAGTACAATACGTCATATCTTATATTTGGTTCTTATATTTGGTTCTTATTATAGGTGCAGATATTTGATCAGAAGTAGTAATTTCATTCATGTATATAAAATTTAAGTAGTGATGTTCGGCATTAGTTCTCATATTTGCAAAGTTTTTATATTAATAAAGATGAATTTTTTCCAAGTATCTTATTTCTTTCATTGTTTAGATGAACAATCATTTCTTTTATAAATTTATTATTTCTACACTTTGATATTATGATATTCTGTGTTCGTTTTTTCGCCGGCCAACCTTCTTCATTTCGTCTTAACATGTTTGAATTTTAATTTCACCATATGGTACCGATGATACCGATGATACCGATGATACCGAGACATTATATTATCATTGACAATTCGTTCTAGACCTCCTGTTAATAATAAATGATCTACGTAATTAATATTTATCTGCATTTAATTTAACTCTGTCAGGAAAGATTTAAAAAACCGATTGATCTGTTCGCCCGAACTCCGTTTATCGTATATTATATGTAGCGCTTCATGAATATGATGGGATGTTGCACGCATATATACCAATAAATAATCCGTCACTCTATTCATGTATTATTACGAATTTTAATGTAACACATATATTCTTCTTATCTCTCTAAATACTGTCGTATAAATCCTTTCTTTCTTCTTGTATACTGTATTTAAAAATGTTATGTGTTGTATCATTCTAGTTTAGTAGTTATGATAGCAAGAATTTTTTACACGTGATCTTTATACGTAATTGGTCGATCTCAACCTTCGAATACCTCAAGTTGATTCGTGATATATTATTGACTTCGATCCTTTTCATTCATGCTTATTGAAAGATATTGCGGGCCGATATTATTGAAGCTTAAAATTGTTTGAATCTCTTGGCATCTTTTTTAAAGCTATTTTTATCAGATAATATAAGTTAATAAGTTAATATGGTTGAATCAATCCCGATCATGGTCTAATAAAATAAAATCTATACACTGACAATCTCAATCTAGAATTTTTGACCGATTTAAACGTTTCATGGTAAAGATTTATCTTTAGAAAAAAAAAAATTAAATTATAATTATTTGTTAGGGTTAGTGTTAGGGTTATTAGGTTTTTATATTATTATCTAAAAATAGAAAATCTTGTTATTTAAAAAAAAAAATAAAAAATAAACAGAACACAATCTTTACAATGAAATTAATGATTGATGATTTTGAATTATAAGCTAAAATAATTTAAATTTGAATAATTTTTGAATGAAAATTCCGAATACACAAAATGAACAACCAAATTTATCGTATCATTTAATATAAATTCTAATATATAAAAAAAATTTTTGGTTAATTAATGTCACCCCAACAAATTTTAAAAAAGTGGCAGAATTTATTTTTGTAAATGAAAATTCATTTTTGCTTTAATTAAAGTTTTCATTGATACTTTTCTGTTTTTAATGAAAATTAAAGTCATAAATCCATTGATTTGTAATCGAAGTTATTAATTAAGAATCTCTATACCTAATTTTTATGATTTTATTACTAATTATAAATTATTCTGACTAATACTTAATAAAGTCCAACGTTCTTTTCTGCATTTTATTTTTTTGAAATTTAGGGATGACAATTACAAGTCATCAAGTCATTGTAGATATTGACCCTTACCAGGTTTGGCTTATTGGTATAAACAGTCAAAGCACGTGACTTTAATCTACGTACGTACGTATGTACATGCGTGCGTGCGTACGTACGTGATTCTAGTACAGTACTTATTCACAATAAAATATCTTGATTATATGAAACTATAACCAATGACTTAAAACTTGTTGCATATTTTATAAAGCTCTTTGATTCAGTTTTACAAATCTAAATAAAAATCATGTTTTATGCTTTCTCAATTATATTTTAAAGAAATTTTTTTATTTTTAATTTGTAAAAGTATCTACTACTATCCAGCCCTAAAAATACAAAGACATCTAAAAGCCAATTAAACCTACTATACAAAAAAAAAAAAAAAAAAGAGTGAGACCGTATGTAAAAATTTAGCTCATTAATTAATTAATATCACAGAACCCAATATATACATATATATATATATCGAACAATCTGAAAATAACAACTTGAAAAAACTCATATAATCATAATGGAAAGTCCATAAATCTAACACATATTATTGAATAAAAAGAAAAAAAATAAAATAAAACATACAGTACAGTACAATAGCTCAGTAAATATAAATCTCTTATATTAAAGTAAAAGTAATCATTATCTAAATGATTTCACTTTTTAATTTGCTTGATTTGAGAATTGTACAGTACATACACATATAAGATATCGTAATTAACTTATGTACGCAATGTAAATATATAAAATGTTCTCGTGTACAAAAAAAAAACGAAAAAAATCTTTAAACTAACTAACTAGCTAACTAACTAACTAATGTTGCCATGTAGTGGTAGTATTATATAGTGGATAAATTTCGTTAAAGTCTATTACATTATTGCATGGATTTTGATAATATTGATATAAATCAATTTCTTGTGAAGATTGTGATAATAAATCAGTTGTTTGATAATTAACTTGTGGAATCGGCATTTGAGTAGGATAAGAAGCTGAAGTTGATGATGTATTCATATATGAATTATTATATAGAGGCACAGCCTTAGAACGTGTTGTATTCATATATGGATGATACATAGGTACTGCCTTATTAGAACGTGAATTTGGTCTGTATCTATATCCTGGGTGCTTTTGGGAATGTAAATTTTGGACATCAAGTGCTAATTGTTCATATGTTTCCTTTGAAAAAGTAAGATTTGAAAAAAGAGAGAGAGATATATATATATATAAATGAATATTTATATAATAATGTTAAATTATAATTCTAATAAATACCTTTTCTTCTGCTGAAGCTTCTCTCCATAACATTCCGGTAACTTTTGATATTACACGCATATTACAAGTTCCTTTCGATCTAGCTTCTTTATGAACATTTTTACGACATAATAAAAACCCATTTGGTGGTCTTCTTGTACGTGTGTTTGGTGTTGATCTTCCTATTAATTCTTCTGGATTATTAATAGCTGGTGGAAAGATATTATTTCTATCCAAAAGTTTGATCAAACTATATGCCAAATCGTTTAAAGATGAAGTTTGCATAGTCATTATAACTTTATTATTGGTTTTTTTTTTTGATTAACTATTTTTCGCGATGATATATATATATAATTTTTTTTATTTTTTTTATAATGGTTTAAATATCGTGACGATTATTTTCTACGTTGAAAGAAAAAAGCCTTTTTTTTAAAAAAAAATTTTAAATATCGTGGCGACTATTTCTATGGGGAGGGAAAATTTTTATAATGATCCTCGGACTAAAAATCCGATGTGAGGAGTACAAAAACTGCATTCATCACGAGTTGTAAGTTATACTGATTACTAAATATGCATTGTGTTCCTGTACTTTTTGGGCGTAGAAAAAAATCTAAAGGTAATTTATCTTGTTAAGTTATATATACCAATAATACATCAACACATATATGTAATTTTATTTTATTTTACTTTACATTAAAAAAAAAGGGTTGCAATCCAGTTAATTCCACTACACTATACTGTAAGAATAATCATTCGCTAGTTTTTTTTAGTTTTTTTTTTTTTTTACAGTACTTTAGTCATAGCTCGACTCTTCCTTTAAAATTTATACCAGACAATTGTAACTTAATTTGGCTAGAACTTTCCTACCGAAACGGCCTAGTAGCTCTCTTTGAATAAAATAGTAAATATATGCTAGTACGCCTGATCAAATAATTCAGCAGCAAAAGCGCGTCAACAAACTATAACATGACTTCTAAATTCAGTTTATATGAATGTATATTGCACCTTTTTAGTATATAGCACAAAAAATGAACATTGCTATTCGGTATAATTAAAGAACCATCCGACCGGCGCAGGATTGTTAATGAAATCTAATGTTTATCGATAATGAATTCGATTACACACGGAAATATCTAAATAAATATATAACATTCGAGAAAAAAAATGTTGATCAAAAATTATATTAGATATTATTAGATATTATTAGATATTATTAGATATTATTAGATATAATTAGATATTATTAGATATAATTAGATATTATTTGATATTATTAAAATTTTAATAAATTTTATTAGATTTCGTTCATTTTACTATACAGTTATTATACAGTTATTACATTTTTTTTTTTAAAGGAAATTTTTTTTTGCTTAAAACTCCTAATATGCGGAAATGAACAACTCCGATCCGAAATTTAAAGATATTCATCTTTATTACAATTACATATTAGCATTACATATTAGCATAAATGTTTTTTAAAATTTGTACACATCCGTATTTGTTTATATCTAGAGTCACGGTGTCATACCCCGCATATTTAGGTCACGTTACGTTTTTATTTATTTACGTATCAATATATCGAGATATAGTTATTCCTAAAAAATTTTCAAACACCAAAATTTTCCCCTTGATCATTTTACGTTAGTGTAAATGTTTACCAATAAGATAACAAGCCACTTATCTTTATATGCCAAATTATTTGGTTATACGATAATTTTTATGACTAAATTGGTAGTATGTATTAAAGTAATTCTAGAATTGGCATAACTATAAATTTTTTTATAAACACTTTAATAGGTATATAAGTAATATAAAATATTATATACTTATAAGTAATATTTATGTAGATATTTTCGGTTAATTTTGAAAAAAAAAAAAGGTTATGATTTTTATCTAGAATTCTCTTTCATTATTTCTTTTTCTCATTTTATTTAAATAGCTGATCATAACGATATTAGTCTAATTAGTAAATTTTTCAAGGGTAAGATAAACTTCTGTTTGGTAACACATTAACATAAGTCAATATTTTTAATGGCTGAATTTTTTTTTTTTTATAATTTTATTTTAAAATGACATAAGCTTTTTTAATTAATACGTATCGTACGTAGTCTAGACACTTGTTTTCTATAATTAGAAATAAATTACTATTTTCGTTATTTATTAACATTATCTATTTACATAAGGTTGTTATTACTTCAAAAAAAAAAAAAATACGCATTATCTTTTTATTATATATTTGCTTATCATATCCTCACGTGGACAACATTATTATACTCTTTGGCTAGATACATTTGGTCAATTTTTTAAATTAATTCCGTATAATTTTACTAATCTACATATACATTAATTTCGTATAATTTTTACTAATCTACATATATATTAGATTTCGGATGAAAAATTTTATTTCTTTATAAATAAAAAAGTACATTTTATAATAAATGTATTTTTAACAAATTATATATATATATTATTACAAAATTACTTCACATATCATAACGATATGTACAGTACGTACGTACGTACGTTGCGTGTCGTACTTACTTACGTACTATACGTACTTACTTTTTAAAGTTATTTTTTTATTCTCGCTATTTCTGGAAGGTGGTATAATCAATATAAATATCTGATTTTTAGGAGGTGGCTAAGCAATTTAACGATAAGGAAAAAAAAAAAAGAAAAATTATATGATTAGCGAATACTTTATCAGTTATTAATACGCATGTATACGTACGTACTATTAAGTATCAAAAAAATATAACTATAATATATAATTATAATATAACCAGAATAATAACTATAATATAACTGGATTTCATATGTTAGTGCCCTTCTCCAAATTTAGGATAAACTGCATATACGTACGTCCGTACGTACGCAAGATATAGAGTTTATTATTGATTGAGCTCTGGTAGCGGCTACCGCTGTCTATTTTTGATTTTAAGATCGTTTTTTACTAACATTAATGCTAGCGTGATTGTGACCCTGCATATTCAAAACGGCATATACCATTTACATTATCCTATACTAGGTAAATTATCAGATCTTAATAAATAAGTCTAGTCAACATATGAAATTACGCCTGTGTTAGTCTTGAAAAAAATGTACGCAGTTAAACTTAAGTGTACAGTACATATATTGATATGTAATAAATGCAACCCTTCTAATAGTGTTTTCCCTGTAAAACTATATTATTTTTACAAAAGAAATCCTAACAGGAATAAGACGGGTTTCTTCTACATTAGATATAATTAGATATAGAGATCAGCAACGCATGTATACATTAAAAAAATATGTTAAGAGTACTGTCTGTATACATTAAAATATGTTAAGTTGTAATGTGTATTCATTAAATATGTATTACTAAGTTGCACGAGTACTACGTACAATTTAGACGATACGGTATCGATATTTGAAAATATTTGTTATCTATCGCATATCAGCATATATATATATCTACTGCGTCGTATGTATACGTATCAGGTATGTATATTCTATGTTCGTCATACACGTTCATACCTGATACGTCCGTACGTACGTACATACATACGTGCGTACACGTACATAATCTATAATGTGACAAATTCGATTCTATTGCATAGACATTTTAACATCTACTGTAAATTCCCGCACTTTTTAATATGTCCCCACAAACAAACAAAATGCCGGATTTAATCCGGACTTTTTAACTGCTATGATTAAAATAAGAGATTAACGTTAGTACGTACGTACGTACGTTGCGTGTAAAGCACCAATGGTTATTAAATGATAAACAAAAGTTTTTTTTTTCAATTTCTTGTTTATATTATTGTTATTTTATTAGATAATACGAAATTCAAGAATCTCTTTTTTTTCAACAAAATGCTAAGCATAAAAGTGATAATCGTACGCATACATATTGATACGTATTAATCACAGTATACAATATATATCTGATATTTGAAATTTGATATCTTTAACGGTTTTCTATAACTGATAATATGTATATTCAATATTACGTACGTACGTATATACATAAAAACGTACGTACGTAACTGGTGTATTTTTTTTTTTCTCACAATAAATATATAAAAGTCTTAGAACAATAATTTGAATTTTTAATAACCGCCAATTATTTGGATAGGATTCTCACTTTCTCACTCTTTTGATTGTCAAAATAAAACCGCCAACTTTTACATAAAAAGCAGTGATAAAAAAGTAGGCGCTAAAATTTATTATGGATCAACTAGGATCAACTACTACAATTGACATTTTTTAATTTCTTTTTTGCTTGTAAAAAATTTCATCGCAACATCAAAAAAAAAAAAAAAAAAAAAAAAAAAAACACAATAAATTTGTCTATATAAAGGTAAAACAGCTAAGATCATATAAACATTTATGTTTTACAAAATGGTTAAATTATTGTAATATCGATAAACGGTGATTTAATTCTGTCTTTCCGATGTACGTATGAAATTCTAGAGTTTCGTGGCCTTGTGCTTAATTGGATATTAACTTGTCAACGTATTTGAATTTTTAACTTTAATGTATACGATTGTCCTTGGTCATTTGATAATCTAGTGTTACATTAAATCCAGTAATTTGGACACTAAAAACATTGCGATTGAAAATTTCTTCTTTAAAGGCGCGTAACTCAAAAAAAAAAAAAAGATGATTTGCAGATAATCGAAAAAAAGTTTTTTTTAACTGGTAACCGATAACAGAATAATGGCGTTTTTTTTTTCTCATGATAATAAAACTCTTTCCTGTATTATGAAATTCTTTCCTGTATCTGGTATATGTGAAAAATGTTTATCGTAGTTTTATAGGTTAAGATGGCCAGATAACCAGTTAATTAACTAATAACAAAAATCTGACAAGTATACTACTTTGGTTTTATTTGTTTATATGGCATAAGACCACAATAAACAATAAATAAAGTAAACGCACATGGTATCAAGCAACGGAGTTTAAATCATATTTTTTATAACCTTTTTTTTTTAAACTCTTGTCGATGTTACTTTATTTGATTAAGAGTTTACATTGAATTATATTCTTTATCTTGAAATCTACCATTGAATAAATTTTATGTATTTTTATGATCATTTCATAAACTTTTTTCACAAAAAATAAATAAGGATAGTAATATGCTAATCACATGATCTGTTATTTTGCATAGAGATTATTTTCACTTCAAAATTTTATTAAAATTTTGTGAAAATCATACAATTGTAATTACGTATAAAAAACTTAATGCAAATAATAAACCTTAATATGTGATCTCCAGTTTATCATTTTACCACTTGACCCAACCTTCCTTCCCGTCCATAAATTAATATTCTTAATTATATTAGCTTTTTAGCTAGCATAATGGAACCTTTTAATTAATGGCTGAATTTGATCCATTAAAAAAGTTATCTGTTGAATTCATTCCAGAAAACGAACTAAATCCACCCCCATTTGGATTGTTGATGTTTATTAAAGGTTCATTTGGATCGTACGTTTTTCTATATTTATTATCATCCTCATCATTAGCATCTTTTGCATAAAGCTTATATTGATACTGTTCAGCAGATCCTGCATTCCTCCAGCGTTCAGTTTTGATGTATTCAGAAATGTCTTTTCGTGTTATCCTTATAGCGGCTTCTTGACAACGTAGATCAAACACCAAACCAAATAGTTTTTCTCCGGTCATTTTTGGTAAGGGGCCGCCTCCTCTTTGCTTTCTGAGAGTTGCCAAATGAACATCTAATTTATTACTGTTATTGTCATAAAGTAAGTCAATAGTGAATGTTTGCTGACGGAATGAATCAATATCAGGATTTGTTGGATTCATTTTATTTCGTAAAGAGTAGAAAAGTTATTTAAGAGATTGAGTATGACGGAAATGGATTGTTATTAATATAAACGAATGGTAATCTACCCATTAAAATCAAAAGCTTCTCTGAACTGAACGGTTTTTTTTGGTGTATATATATATAAATATCCTGATAATTACCGTTACTCTAATCTGTAAAAGGCGTTTTTTTTAACCCTTTTTTTTTTTTTTTTTTTTTTTTTTTTTTTACAGGTATAATATTTGTCGATACACCATCTAAATTCAGTCAAGGGATATTTAAGCATAGTGAAACGCAATAAATTACGACATTTTCTTCCAATAATAAAGCAGCAAAATCTATTAGTTTATTGTAAAAAAATTTTTTTATGATATTTATTATACGTGAATATTTATATAAACTGTAGAGTTTATGCTTAAAGACAAATTTACCGGTTTCTAAATGATAATATTTACGTGCAAAATTAATAATCTAAATAAACTATTGACTTACTACATCTTTTATTTTTTTATTGTACTATATAATTATCGGGTACAGTACCATATAATTACCGGTTTGGATAACGATAACGCCAAGTTCTGGCGTTAATAAAATTTAAAACAACTGGTCAAGTAAAAGAATAAAAAGGGTTAGATATGAATGTATTATACTCAATATAAGCAAATATTTGTGTAGAATCTATAATACTTTTCTCACTTAATGTAACATTTGATTGTTGATAAGGTTACTACGCTTACTTGTTTATTATACATGCGGCCAATACACTGTATATATTAATCGATATCATTTCTGATATAAGAGATAATAGGTTATTAACATTGAATCTATTACGTGAGTGTGTGTGTGTATAAACAATAAATCTTGAGTTCTATCAATTTCTAATTTTAAATAATGTCTAAAATAACGGCCAATCTAGATATTAAAGTTTGCATTCAGTTACACTTTTCAGATAAGTTAGTCATACAAACTGTAACCATTGAGTTATAAATTACAGACGTACGTACGTACGTACTTAATTAATCACTTATTATTGAGTCACAATATAAATAATAAAATACGTATTAGTCACACTCTTATAGTATCTCTTTGATTTCTTATAAAACAAATCACTCCGGATATGTTGAAATATATGAAATGATCATCTATCGGATACAATGGACAAGTAAAACAATTATTTAACAGTTAATAAAAGTAATTACATTCAATTTCTTATTGGTTAAAGATTTTTTATTTGATGTGTAACAATCTTGATTAGTTTAATTTATAATTTAACTGTTAATATAAACGATAATTATAATTAAGTATTCCTGCAAATTTTGATCGTATAAGGCAAGGGATAACATATGAATTAGTTTAGGGATCTAGAGACTAGTCCATTAATAATTAGCATTTAAATGTCAAAATATTGTTAGCATTAGAAATTACCTAAAAAAAGTTATTAGGCTTTTAACATCCTACATATATAAATTCCAAATTTAAAATTTTGCATATAATGATTACTCTTTTGAGGTATCAGTATAACGACAGGATTGCAGTAAGAGTAATAATTTAATATATAATAGTAATAATATACAGTATATATATCATTAAATAGAATTACATAATAAATTTATTGCTTTACAAATAGTCACCAAAAAAAAAGTGATAATTTATATGTATGTGTAATTAAAAAAAAGCGATTTTTTATTTACTTTAATTTAAACTCTAGGATACAGTATGATGCCCATGATTTTACTGTGAATATCATTGATTTTTGCAGATTCTGTGATGACGCATAAATATTACTTTAAAACCAAAATATAAAAAAAAAAACTTCCCAAAAAAGTGAAATTTAATTTTATCGCAATAGATTATTGCAAGCCAAAACATTATTTTTTTTATAAATTCTTTGCCTACCGACATTTATTTTAAATTATAATATAATATAATATTTATATATTATATATTAAATTTTAATTTGATTTTATTTATTATAAAATTAAGTGCTTTTTTTTTATTATTTTATTAAAGTAATTTAGTAACTATAACCGGTGGTGTCATCACCGGGGTACTTATATCTCAAAAACGTACTAAGTAAACGGGATCAGGTACTCTAAGTAAAAAGTTCAGGACCCATATCTAATCTATGTTATATAAACAAAAACCTCTAAAACTACGCACTATCCAACCATTTACCTCAATCCTTCATCAACCAGGCCACTACTACTTCCAAATAGTACAAATAGTACAAGCAAAAGTGTTCTCTACAAAAAAAAAAAAATTAAAAATCATAATCGGATTTTGTTCAGGTTATTATTTTAAATAATGAGTATTTTTCGTATTAAGAACCTATATAAACCCTTTTTAGGTTCCTGAATATTTCCTTTCTGGTTATAATTTTACGCCAAAAAAATACAGCTGTTTATAAAAAGATGTGGGGAACGATTTCCATATATCCATGTGCGGAATCAAAGAATGTGGAAATTCTGCTTAGTAAAAATTAAAAATCCGATTAGAGAAGTTTTTGAAAACTCTGGAAATCTGGAAAACGGCTGTTTTTATAGCCAGGAAATCGGTTATATTTGGGAAATTTAGAAATATTCAGGAATTTAAAAAAGTTTTATATAGGTTCTTTTTACAAAAAAATGCTCATTTTTAAAAAATATATTCTGAACAAAGTCTGAATATGATTTTTAATTTTTTTTTATAGAATACATTACTAAACTTAACAAAGCTACAAAAATTACAAACTAAACTAGTCAAATTACAAGCCTAAATTTAGACCTACTAATCACTAATGTATTTTTATTTTTTATTTTTTTTTAACATTTGGCAGTCATACCAGCATTTTAGGTTTGGTAATACTATTTATATTAACTATTCTATGTATAATTATACTAAACTATGTATACCCAATAAGAAGTTAAACATCTTAAACCCTAGTGTTATAAATACTAACTCATCTGATTATTCCAATAAACACCTATATGCGACCTGCTATCCCTTAATTTGCCTAGCAGGCAAATTTGCCTGCTTAATTTTTAACAATTTAATTTTTTTAAATAAAATTTTAAATATTAATTTTAGCTATATATTTTCTATTTAAAAAATATATTTTAAAATATATTTTATTAACTTTGTTAAGAAAATTTTTTAAATTTATTAAAAAAGT